AAAAATCGAAGATAGCTCTCTTGCTGCGATTTTATTAGGCGGACTAACATCTCGTTATGATCCTCTAGTAATGGCTCTAGAACATTCAAATCTCGAAGTAACATTAGAAATGGTTAAGACGAAGTTATTGAGTGAAATGTCAAAGGTGGCTCAGAATGATTATGTTGCAGCATTTCGTACTTCACAATTAGAAGCGAAGACGAAGAAACCGATTATTTGTTTTAAATGTAGAAAACCTGGACATAAGAGCCCTGATTGCCCTATTAAAAAGGCAAAAAAGGCAAATATGTCAAAAATGGAACAAAACATAGAAGATACAACAGATTGCTTGTCAGAAGTGGCTATGTCATCCCTAAATAACCAGAACTCCGATAAATGGATAATCGACTCTGGAGCATCGGGACATATGACTTCACACGGTGAATGGCTAAAAAATTATCGTTCTATAAATAGTGGAAGCATAACTGTAGCAAACGGACAAAAATTGCCTGCTGTGGGTATTGGTGAGGTATCAATAAATACCAACTCTGTACTATCAAAAATAAGTAATGTTATTTATGTTCCTAGTTTAAAATGTAATTTACTTTCCGTAAAGAAAGTTGTCGAAAAAGATTTTTCTGTTGTTTTTGATAAAAATGGTTGTAACTTTTATAAAACTTGTGATGTATCTTTTGCTAATAACCCTATTTTACACGGTTCTTTTAGTGGTGGAATGTACAATTTAGATTGTTCGATTAACTTGCCACAAAATGTTTCAGCCTATAATGTGCACTCTGAACTCTCAAACTTTAAAATTTGGCATAAGAGATTAGGACATCTCTGTCGCATAGGTATGGATCTACTTAGAAAAGGTCTAGCAGTTGGAGTGGAGTACAAGGAGGTTGACAAGGAACCATGCATACCCTGCGTGGAGGGTAAGCAAGCAAGAAAACCTTTTAAACGGTTGAAAAGTAAGAAAGCTACGTCAGTACTAGAATTAATTCACACAGATTTATGTGGACCATTTCAAACAACCTCTTTTCAAGGTAATAAATACTTTATTACTTTTATAGACGATTTTACCAGGTTTATATTTATTTATTTTATATCTTCTAAGACAGAAGTCAAATCAAAGTTTTCTATTTTTCAATCTCTTGTTGAACGTGAAACTGGCTCAAAAATAAAAATAGTGCGATCTGATAATGGATCTGAGTACGTCAACAATGAATTTGCTGATTATTTGGCTTCAAATGGTATCAAGCACCAAACTACGATGCCCTATAGCCCTCAGCAAAATGGAGTAAGTGAACGATGCAATCGTAGCATTATGGAGAAAGCCCGTTGCATGTTGTCTCATGGTTCACTTGCGAAAGCTTATTGGCAAGATGCTGTAGCGACTAGTGTTTATTTGAAAAATAGGTCGCCACATCGTGCTCTTAATAAGAAAACTCCTTTTGAGATATGGTACGGATCTAAACCTAACTTATCTCATCTTAAAGTCTTCGGATGCAGAGCTTTAGTTCATGTTCCTTCTTGCCAAAGAACTAAGCTAGATATGAAAGCAACTGAACATATTTTTATAGGATATTCAGATGATCCTAGAAGTTACTACTTCCGAAGTGCGAAAACACCTAGAAAGTTAGTAAAATCGAGAGATGTAACTTTTTTTGAAGATAAGTTTACAGGACTAACAATTGAAAAGGCAGACGACGTAAACTGTGATACAAGTTACTTATTTTCAAAGACCTCATCCTCAGAAGAAGCTTCATTATCTTCTCCTTCAATTGGCGGAGGTGGTGATATAGCAATTGAGGAACAAGATCACAATTCAGTCAGTACTGAAGAGGTACGCAATCAAGGAATGGAGACTGTATATTCAGGTAATATAATTAATTCTTCATCTCCGTCATCGGGTTCTTCAAGTAATTCTAATGATGATAGATCTGGAAGAAGGTACCCTGAAAGAATACGTAAACCTCCAAACTATTTTTCTTATAATACTCTAAGCGATGATCTGCTGTGCGGTGATCCTTTGACTTATCGTGACGCAATTACAAGAGATGATAAAAATGACTGGATCACTGCGATGAATAATGAGTATGATGCTTTATTAAAGAGGAAAACTTGGGTATTGGTGGAAAAACCAAGCTTTAAATCTTATATTCCATCTAAGTGGGTTTACAAATTGAAAAGAGATGCTGAAGGAAATATAGTCAAATATAAAGCTCGTTTAGTAGCTAAAGGTTTTACACAAATAGAAGGTGTAGACTATTATGCGACTTTTTCTCCCGTTGTACGCTCCTCATCGTTGCGAACGCTGTTAGCACTAGCAGTACAGGAAGGATACAAAATACGTCATATGGATGTAGATACTGCCTTTTTATATGGTGATTTGGAAGAAGAAGTCTATATGGATCAGCCAGAAGGGTTTGTCCAGAGAAAGGAAGATGAAAATAAGGTATGCTTATTGAAAAAGGCCTTATATGGTTTGAAACAAGCTCCGAGAGCTTGGAATATAAAGTTAAAACAAACTTTGTCAACTATTGGATTCACTCAAACACCATCAGAACCTTGCGTGTTTACTAAAAATATTTCGAATACAGACTCCTTGGTTATAGCCATATATGTTGATGATCTTTTAATTATGTATAAAAATGAAGTAACATTTGACAACTTCAAATGTGAGTTGGAAAATTATTTTTCACTTAAAGATCTTGGTATTATTAATTATTTCATAGGCATAAATATATCTTGCCGAGAGAATATTATTAAAATATGTCAAAGTACGTATATTGAAAGTTTGTTAAAAAGGTTTGAAATGCAAAACTGTAAATCGGTTTCAACACCCCTTGCTCAAAAGAAACTGGAACCTAGTACAGGTGAGTCTAAATGTTCCTATCAGGCATTAATTGGCTGTCTTATGTATTTGGCAGTAAATACAAGGCCTGATATAGCTTACGCAGTGAGTTACTTAAGCCAATTTAACTCCAATAATGATCAATCTCATTGGAATGCTGCTAAGCGATGTCTTCGATATTTAAGTGCAACTAAGCATGTTGGTATTTCATACAGAAAAACTGAAGACTCCTCTATACTGCGTGGTTACTCAGATGCTGACTTCGCAAACTGTCCTGTTAGTCGTCGCTCATATACAGGATTTTACTTCGAACTCGCAAAAGGCCCTATTTCTTGGGAATCAAGAAAACAGCCTACAGTCGCATTGTCCTCTGCGGAATCCGAATACATGGCGCTATCAGCAGCTGCTAAGGAAGGTTGTTTCTTAAAACGTTTTGTGGCAGAAATAACAGGTAAAACTCTAAATGTTGTCATTTTTTCTGATAGTCAGAGTGCCCAGAAACTTGCGTTGAATCCAGTCCATCACAATAGAACTAAACATATAGACGTAAAGTTTCATTTTATTAGAGAAAAAGTAAATGACAAAATTATAGAATTAAGGTATATGCCCACTGATTCACTACCAGCGGATGTTTTGACAAAACCTTTAGGTCATGTTAAGCATTTACGATGTATGACGAATATGGGCATTGGGTAACCTTTTATCTTGTTATTTTTGTACCAGTATTTTTGTTAAGTAATATTTTTGTTATATATATATTTTGATTACGGGAGGATATGTTGTAAAAACTCTATAGTCGTTTTTATTAATGTTCTATAATCAAAATATTAAATACAAAAATATAACAATATAATAATTTATGACAGTTTGCTGTTCTCTTCTAAGCTTCACATAATACATACATTTTTATTATTCATCCAACTGAGCTTATTATTTTCAACAGTATTCTACCAAGGAAATTGAATATTTAGAAAGAAATATATGCGAATTGAAAAATGCCAACAAATGGTAAAATAAAAACTCTCATACTAATACAACACGTCTGCTTTTCAAACTAATTAAACTTTAAATTTTATTTTTCTACGCATTATTCTTTATAAAAATATTCAATTTTATCTCGAGAGGCGTCGAGTTCAATGTCGTTTGGACCAATTCAGGTAACGGAACGTTATTTAGGTCGTGCTCCATTATGTTCATTACTTATTTGGTTTCCTTATAATATATAGATTTTATAGTTTGAAGACCCAATAAATGACGGGATTCTGTGACACTTATTTTATTTTATGAAACAAAATAAAACATTAAAAATCGATAAAGCATCAAATCCATATTTTACTTCATATGAAACATTTTTATAAAGCGTCAAATTTAATAAAATATATAATTTATTACGAAATCGTAGTATATTTCGAGAATTCGAAATAGAAAATTCTTTACGTATTGGATTTGATTTATAGTCCAATGACCTTTTTGACGCATTGAACTCTTAGGGTATTTTTTATTGAATGAGTTCGTTTCGATTAAAATGATTTTATTTATCACATTTACCATATACCATACATATATACATATACCATATATGTTTGTCTTTGAACATAGATATTTATTGCGATTTGTTTATTTATGGTGATGAGGACAATTTAATAATTGGGTCAACTTATTAAAGAATACTTTTTTACAAAAAAATCTCTTATTGGCATGATAAACATAAAAATTGGTTACAGTAATAAACATTAGGTATGCATTAAAAACCTATGCAGTAGACCAGTAATGAAGTTGCATGAAGAAAGAAAATAGTAGTGGCCATTGGATCTGAATTCTTACTATCTATCCCGCAAGAAACTTGGCATGAAGATAGATAAATGCCTAATATATTACACATATTTTTATCATTATTTAGGGATTTTATATTCAATGCAATATTTTTATTGTTAAAATTTGCAAAATTTGCATTATATTTTAATGCAATAACTACCGGTGTATGTTAAGCTTTAACAAGTAAGCTCGCGCTCGGGTCACAGTCGCTCATGGCTAAGGGCCACGATAATCCCGAAACTAGTCGAGTTTTCACGACTAAAATACACGTAAGTTAAATTGGTAGTTATTATATTTAAATATAATGTAACTTTTGTTACATTACATTATTAATTGTACAACTACTTACTTGCTATAACCTTTATACACTGTGGCATAGGAACCCTCACCGAGCTGTTCGAGTTTTATGTAAGCTTCGGATTTCCCGAACGGAGAATCTCCCTGTGGACAAAGAGAAAAAAATATTAATTTATCATAGTAGTGCAGCTACACACTAATCCTACAATTTACGACGGTACACTCGATGCTGAAAATGTTGATAGCTCGTGAAATGGCTCAACAAATCGGGATTATTCATGGAAGCCACATGTACGAAATACCTATGTTTGTTTTTCTCTCGTAAATAAATTACGGTTAGGTTCGTTATGTTGGCAGCACTACATGTTATTGCTTTGACTTTTAGTTGTTTTGACAACGGCTTTAATGGTACACCAAAAACATTGGTGGTGTAAAATATGAAGTATTTATGAATGTTATTATGTATAAAATAGTAAAAATACATCTATGTAATAAGGGACGCGAAATATGATATAAAAATAACACATGGATTCACGTGTAGTTGCGATAGATTAAACTTTTTTACTATATTTCAACTCTTACTTTTTTGGGTATAATAGCTAGTTGTACCCTGTAGCTTCGCTCGTGGTTTTTTTTATACTACTTTGGTGGCAAACAGGGTTGGCAAACAGGGTTACCGTAACCTATGGATGTATATGGTTGTATAGTGGAAGTATTGTAGGCCTACAATCATCCTTATAAAATGAACTATGAAATGCAAAAATAATTATCCAAATGGTAGTTTCAGAGATAAGCGTGTTCAAACAAACTTTTCTCCTTTATTATTTATTATATTTATCATACATTTTTTCAAATAATCATGCAAATATAAATAACAATAATTTGTTTTATGTTCACGTTGCAATAATCGTATTACGTGATGTATTTTTAGAAAAAATCCATAAAACCTTATTTGAGTATCTTGCCTTGTCATTTTTTATTACGCCAAGAGGGTACGCCAGGACTGGTTAACTTAATTTGGTACTCGTCCTATTATTCTTTCTGAAGAAAGTTTCCGGACAGCGATGCTTTCCCTCGAGACTGCAGAGTTAGGTACTTACTTCTCTACTTGTGTAATAAATGTTAACGTTTTAAGTATATATTATCAACAGATACAGACTATATTTTATCTTTCCTTTGTGGGGTAGGCAGAGAGACTTAAGAGTTCTAAGCACTCCTTCTTCAGATAAAACACACTTTTTTATTCGTATTGTAAAATATTTTTACCCAGCGACCAAGGGAACAGAGTACAACAAAATACACTAATGCACAAACAGAAAAATTGTAAATAAAACCATAACAAATTACTTAACCAGCATTATATTAGACAAATATTCGTTTACTGTGTTAATCGGTTGAAATGTAGAATTTGTGAAAACTTTACAAAATATTTCTTTTAGAATATTTCCCTTTGGCCGCTAATCGTACCTTTGTACGAACAAATAATCGTAAAACGTTAAATACAAAGTGATTTATTCTGCAAATTTCGCTCTCGAATCGCCATTTGTATGGCACAGTGAATGCGGCTGTTTATAACGATTAGTCTGTATTGTGAGCTATCATCCGCTTCGTAGCTACAACGTTTTGCTTTCTTCGCTCGTTCGCTCGCTACCTGTCTAAATATTTGACTCCGTTAATGCGGCTCAAAGATTTGTGGGCGCATGTGTACTTGCAATTGATATGTTTATGCTTAAAGATTTTTATTTGTTGTTTATAATGAACGAAATTGTTATAACAGTTTTATTATTAACATATTTAGCTGTTTAAAGAAAAATTTTATTATTAACATAGTAAAGATCCTTTTGGAGGTTTTAGAACAAGAAATAGGGTATTTTTTTCTTCTAAAATACGTAAGCAACAACGTAGATTATATAGTCTGTTAAACATCAGAACATTACCATATTTTGTATAGTCGATTATAATTTTTGAAATTTCGGAGATGTCATAATATCATAATGTGCTGATATAATTGCCCAGGACTAGTAAACTTTGTTGCATTATACTGCGATACAACCCTCTACCATTTACCACTAAACATGGAATAATTAATTATGGTTTATTTAATTACAAACTGTGTCCATTAATGCAACTAAATTTATTGTCGGTGTACACTTGACATGGCGGATGGGGACACAGAAACCAATCTTTATAGCGATAATTTATCAAAGTCGTGCAAGTAGCTGGCACTGTGGTAGGGGACTTTGTATGATGGCTTTTATATACTTGTTTTTTTAATTTGCGAATGATGTACAGGAAGTGTTCTCAAACTTTCATCGTTGAGATTAATGGAGTCACTACCAACCTTGGTAATAATGTTAAGAAATAACATTGTCTAATTATATCTTATATTGATCATTCCCTAAATTTAAGTCATAATGTAGAGAATATACGTTTTGTGTATTGAGTTGAATTGGACTCAGACTTTCATCAGTCCTTACCCCACCTAAGGCTAAATATCTACCTACTTCCAATCGGTTATTACTTTTCAAGATATGTGGACGGTCTCTAGACACTTCAGGTTATTGAACTTACAGGCGATATCGAATTTTTATTCATATGATTCCTCTTTCAAAACATTCATTTGTTAAACAATTTTTAGAAGCTTTTTCACACAATAAAAAAATATTGACATTAAACAATAGTATTAAAACATGTTCGGCGAAATGTAAGAACGTAGAATGTTTCGACATAGTTTGAATGTTACAACACGAAACAAAATGCCCCTGAATAACCGTTTTGGGATTACAGTGGCGAGCATAATTTTCTAGTACGAATCGCTACGGTAATCTTTCACACGATTTATCAGTGTCGGCCGAAGTCTTCATTCGCCCTATTTGTATTCCAATGGTAGTGCCGCGTTCCGCCCCGTCGAGCGCTAGCCACACTTGCCGTTTATCATTATTATTTGTTGTAACTTTGGTCGCAACTTCTCTACAGAAATTTTTCACTTAAAACATTTATTCCGCACAGGACTTTGCCGTCAATATCCTAAGTTATGTCAATAGAATAAATCTTTAATATTATGGTTATCTTTATAATGGTAAGTTACTCAGATTAGATATAATACTTAATATAAGACGTTAACTATATTTCATCATGAAGTAATTTTTAGAAGAAATTTTATTTCGTTTGATTATGTTACGCAGTTACGGCAATTGTTTTTGTAATCAACATGTTCTCGCGTTCGTCTTATTTTAATTTTGTATAAACGATTTTGTTGCGAAGCTAAAATTGTGAACAAGAAATACGATTCCATGTTAAAATCAAATATTGTCAAATTAAAATAGATATCACGGAAACATCTGGGCGTTCATTAGCTATGTGTTTACGGCCAAAATACCTTTTTTTGGGAAGTAAAATACTTAAAAATAAAATAAAATACTTGATAACTCCGTATCGTACCGACATTTGAAAGTAACACCAATACCTATGATGAAATACCAATATTTATTATTTACAGATACGATAGGAAATTACGAATCGTTCCAAAATTCAACATTCGAATAGTAAATTTTATTGAAAATTGTAATCGCCTGCTACCACAGATAATAGTCACATAAATTGATGCGTGAATTGGAACGGGACTAACGATGTTATTCATCTCAACTATACCAAAGATACATTTTTATATTACTTGTGTTTATATAGCGATATGTTAACATATATGAGACGGGGTAAAGTCGCAAACTTATGAATAATGAGACCCAAAAACGTTTACTTTGATTTATGTAGCTTGAACGGATGGTTGAAAATATTCGAGAAAAACCCGCGGGAAGAGGTCCGAAATGCTATTAAGAGATGAATAACAACTGTTTTAGTCAGGGGATTAATAAAAAATCATCATCATCGTCTCATGATATCTGATATTAGCTCAAAAATCATATTATATAAAAATAGTTTGTTTATTCTATGATGATGTTTGATTCCCAAATTGTGTTTTATTTTTCCAAATTGTATTTTATTTTTATAATTGCTTTCGATAAACTGCAGCTTTTAATTTGTGAATCCTTTGTTAGGCTCCTAAAAGATCGATATATCGAGAGAATTTCGGAGTATTATTAATTAACAGCACATGAATAACGTTTGAGTATACTGTAAAACCATTTTAAAATAATAAAACATTCATTTTTAAAATATGTAAATTCCTGTTTGAATATTGACACGTAATATAGATGTCAACTCGTCAGTTTTGCGATAATATTAAGTCTTAATAAAAGGTAAGTATGTATTCTACTGTCGTACGAGATTCCTTATGGTACAGGCAAAGAACCGAAAACCTCTTTTATGCAATTTAGAATGACAAACAAACTGACCGGCTCTCCTAATGGAAAATGATAATCATTACTTATTAACATGAACAGCAGTGACATTAAGACAACCATGGTACTCTTCATGCGTTGTCTTTTCTGAGGACTAAAGTGTTTTATACCTCCGCACCCTGTAATTTTAACTATCATATCCCACGAGTTGTCACGGCATAGAATAAGCCACTTTTTTCTTTTTTGTTTCTTGTCGAAAGAGGTGACTAAGGGAACTCAATGATCAAGGGATGGGCATCCTTGATGTAGCGCCCTTTTAAAACATCACCAAAGCTTAATTGTAGTTGCTAATCCGACTGACAAGCTTGACAACTACTGATAAAACTCTTTTCGGAGAGGCCTATGTTCACCAGTGGTATAGTAAACGGCTGATATGACGATGATGATGATCCCACGAGTGAAACAGAGATATCGGTAAAGTTTCTCGCTGATAAACTGGTACCTCAAAATAAATGCAAGGAAATCAAATTACCCCAAAGGCACTAAACCGCTTAGTGCGGCGATTGCTGTGGTCATGCGGTCCTAGGAAGGCCTCTGATTTAGGCCTGGGTGGTCGCTTGGGCCTCATCACCACCCTGGCGTCCTCCCGAGCACCCTCGTCCAGCAGTTTCGAGTCGGACGACACCGACAATTGTCTCCGTACCCGGTACTCGCCGTTGCCTCCACCGCTCCATTCTGAAAAGATAATGTGAATGTTGTTCAGAATGTAATTAGTGCATATAAATATTAAATTTAATTTATCTCATACTGCTCCATAAGAAATCGTTATTGGAATAAATTTAAACTTTTATTCCACAAAATAGTGACTTCAATCTTGATAAAAATTATCATGGGATCAATAAGGGTGTAAACACTTTTGATTAAAAACTGATACATACCTATCACAACGTAAATGCAATTTTATTGGGTATTATCCTTCTTTGTGAAAGCGATTAAAAAGATAATTGCTTTCCATTTTTATTTATTGGTATAAGAATAGTACGAGTTATGACTTTGTTTATTTATGCTAATGGCTATCTTTATCTATCAGCTAGGATGGTATTGAACTCGTAATTTGTACAAATTTTATTGTACAAAAAAGAATAAATAAATAAACTAAACAACAAATATAGTTTTTCTATCTATTTTCAAGTTTCATCTAAATCCCTTGAATGTATGTATTATGAATGGGTTGTCCTCCAACGTTACTACCGTATGCGACCTATATACTTTATTGTCTTGTATTATTCGGTATTGTTACCCTAGACGTTATTTAGTGTGTCACTTATTATTATTATTTGATATCCAAGATGCAAGAGTAATCCCCTGATAACGTTGAGCGATACGATATATGATAGACGGTACCCATGGGGATCAATAGGCAATCATTGTACGACGATCGTGATTTATGCCAAAAATGAAATTAGTCAAAGAAATCCTTTGTATTCCGAAGGCATTTTATACAAGTTACACGAGTCTACAGTATCATGTTTCGTATCTCAATATATTACTTCAAAATGCTTTTTACCTTTTATAATTTCTGCTACTTGCTGCCTTTATATTTGAAATATTTGCTTATATATGAGTTGTCATTGAACGTGTATAACAAACACGTGTTAAGTTTAAGGAACACAATACATACAAAACATTAAAAATTATAAAATAAATTCTTTATACTTGACTCCTCCGCTCCGCTTAGAGCACGAAGAATAGGTACGTATGACACAGTTTCCTAAACTCGGTGCCGATACAAATTATCAGAGCACTTTGAAATACAAACACTTCCATTGAAAGCGTCAGCAATTGACAGGCTGAAAATTCTGGCACAATTTCCCCCCGCAAGCACTTAGTAGGCAAATTAATTCACGGGAAAATAAAAAAGGCGACGCGAGATCGACGTTGTTTGAAAGGAGGCCCTCCCGCGCCTGCCTATGTTGCTCTGTCTATATAGTCAATACGGGTACTCGCAAACGTCAGAAAAGCGATATCAACGCGACGAGAACATGACAGAAATAAATCATTCATAGGCAGCCAAATAGGTCGTCCCGGACAATCGATTATCTAGCAATCGATCATGGCTATCGAACTAAAAGTACGTGAAACAGTAAATATTGAATTTTCCATTCATTGAATTAAAATCTTTGCGATTGCAACTAAATCGTTAAAGTCAATATAAAGGGGAATACTGCTGTGTAGTAAGTCGATTTATCCCATAGAGCGTTAGGTAATTGGCTTTCCAAACATCAACCCTTTACCGAGACTGAACACCCGCTTTTACGGTGGTCTCAACATGACAGATTGGGAGCTTATTGCCGTTTTCCGGGTAAAATAACACCATTACAACGCATACGCTTATGTCATATAACATTGCAAGAAAAATACTTCGACAAATTGAGTAAAGAAAACATTACACAATATAAAATATATTAGGAATTAAAAAAAAAAGTTATTTTTTGTTCTGTAGTAATATGCTTTTAACTAAATAAATAAAAAGTCCTCGTAATACACCGTACCATAATTTATCTCATATTAATTGATAAAACATTTTTTTTATTTACAAACATAAGGTCCTTATGGTTACATAAGTACAGTTAATAGAAATCAATTTTTATTTACTTGAAAACAACATTAGATTTCAATATTATATTTCGATATAAATATTTAATAATCCATATTTACTTTCACAAAAAAATTGTGACTTCAATCGTTTCATTATCAACCAATGGAACCAACACGGAAGTATACCCTACCAATTTAAAAAATAATTACCAAAATTAATTTAGAATTCACGAAGATATAGCGTAAAAAATATAATCGAATTGAGATTTCTTTGTAACTTAAAAAGTAAAACAGCAATGAACTCAAGTAATGAAGGATACTGTACCATAAACCCTTCCAGTAATTCAAAACTTTTAGGGAAAACTATAAAACGGTGGTAAAACTTATTACTTTTCTTTGATATTGGAAGATGAAATTGTCCGTATGTGATCGTCATATGTTATGTATTATGACAATTGTGTATAAGTATAAAAATGTCAATTTCGCGTGTGGTAACACCCATCGTTGCAAGTAGGTCACGGGGCAAGGGACAGGCGCGGTCAACCCTCGTTATGGAGGACAGGGCAAAAGTCGCGATAATTTTATTGATGCCCACCATATTAAATTTGCCCAAATATTGAATGAGAAGTTGACTGAAATTTTTTTAATTGAACCTAGGAAATTGACATTTTAAATTTGAAATTCAACTGCTTTATTAAAAAAAGAATCATATTTACATATATAGAACGATAGAACTCAAAGATATCCTTATTTTATTATGCCCAAAAAGACACAGTTTTAGCTATTGACTTGATATTTGGTCATTTCGTAAACACGTTACTGAAGCTAAGTCTTACTAAAGTTTCGATCGAATACAAACTACATTTTTATATTATTGAAATATAATCAAGAAAAAATCAACAAATTCCTCGACATAAATTGAGTTACATAAAAAGCTTTAACAAAGTCAATTACTTTAATTCACTCATCCTGAGGATGTCACAAGAGGCTAAGGGGAACAATGCATATAAAATTTTTTACTAGTGTGTACATTAAAAGGAAAACCGATATAAAATCATATACTTAGCAGCCTAATCATGGTAATAGTGAGCTAATATACCTAAATTAGTAGAACAGATACGGATCTCTCCCCGATACTGTTAGGCACGGGCCCAACAGTGGGATATTTCTTTGACCTCTCCCTACGATCTTATAAATGAGATTTGGTGAGATTTATCAGGACCACGCCCACTTAAGCTCATGTAATTAATGGACGCCCCTTTAAGAGCATGGGATTCCTAAAACATGTAAGGCCTCAGTGTGTAAACGTCGCAATGTGACCTCATAAATAGAAACCGCTAGATAGATATGTGATATTTACAGTCCTTTTGATGGGACTTTCAAACATTTTAGGGTACGTGTTCAAGTTTTCATGACTGGAAATAAAAATGTTTATAGGGCCCCAAATGTCGCCTCGTCAGAACCGCGCCCGGTGGAATTTCGTGGTGCTTCACTAATTAAAATGGACAGGCGTCTTTTCGCTGCGACAGTTATAATTCCCGAAACAATAAGCAATTAGTTTAATGAGGATTTAACCTTCAGCTTGTGTGAATACACTTAAGCAACAACTATATTATAATATGTGGGTAATCAACCGACTCCAAAAAGAAGGAGGTTATCAATTCGGTTGTATTTTTTTTATATTTGTTTCCTCATAACTATGTCAGCTAACTAAACCGATGTGGATTTTTTTACTTGAAAGGAAAGTTACAGAGTGGTTTTATAGTAATTTTATCAAAATCGGTTCAATAGTTTTATTTTTAGAGCAAAATAACTGGTTTTTCACATCTAAAATCGGTCGTTTTTGTGGGATACAATCTTTAATTATTTGGTTATTAAATGATTTTTAAAACAAGAAGTCTATATTTAGAACAGTTATTTTTCTTTGTGAAGCAAAATATTGCTTGCTTGAGCAAAATTTACTTGTAGACATAAGTCCGCTTCTAAATTCAAATATTTAAAATAATGTGTCCATAAACAAATTCGCTAACCAACGATGCATATTATCTATTAGAAAAAAACAATTATCAATATTATAAATCAATATGTTAAACACTAGCTACCCGGCCAGGCTTCGCCCGGGTGTATTCGCTGATATTCGCTGATGATGTAGTTTTCTATAGGTAAAGGAATTTTTAAAATCGGTTGAGTAGATTTTTGTTATATCCACTAAAAAAACCGATCAAAGTTTTCGTCTTTATAATTTTAATACTGATGATACATTTGGAATTCTTGATAAAATTTACTTAGCAAAATCTACTTGTTAACTTAATAATAGGAGTTTGGAGTACTTGCTAACTTGACGTTGACTTGTGGGTTACTTTTTTCCCGTTAATTCACACTGAATGCGATGTGATGTGACTTTTTGTTGTGCGTGACTCAATTAGGAATCTCTCCGACTTTTTGAACGCAAAGTTTCCGCACTTTTGTTTACGTTACATTACGAAGTTGCGTAATAATTGCATTATTTCCTTAGTAATGCAATTATTACGCAATTTAATTAAAAGAGGAGCATGGAAGCAATTTTAGATTGTTGTATTTTTTAATCGACTATAAAATAAAGAGGTTCTCAATTCTATTCGTATTACTACAGTTGAGAATCTACGAGTATGATCTTAAAGATGAAATGTCATAATTGAATAGCTATTTAATACTACACTTTGACAGCTTTTTATATCAAAGCAGCATATCTATTATATTATTATTAACAGATAGATTCTTTAAAAATAAATTCCACAAGAAAGATGTTTACTATAATATTTAAATATAAAGGCTCTAAATTATTACTGCGTAGAAATTGAGGGTAAATTCACTTTACCCCTTGGGAAAGACCCAAGATTACCTACCACGCACCCTTTTGATTTAACCCTTTGAGTGAGGGCCGCGTGTCGACTAGATTTCAATCAGGTGCCAGATTTTTGCACTGTCATTATTATTTATACTAGAAGGAGAGCAACATACATATTACATATTTTAAATATTCTCTGCAAAAAAAATAATCCATTCGTGACAAAATTATCATTTAAACATAACCTATATTATTTTATTAATATAATAAACTACACAATGTCTCTATGTAAGAGATATTTAAGAAAACC